GTATGATGTTGTCATTACGGAGACGCCGGAAGATCAGCGAAATAAAGTCTGGAAGAAGAAGGATGCGAACGCGCAAAGGGTGATTGTTACAACACTAGATAAGAAACCTTTACTTCATATTATGAGTTGTAAAACTGCACATGACATGTGGGTAAAAATTACTTCTATTTTTCAACGAGATAATGAACAGCAGAAATGCACTCTTTTTCAGAATTTCTTCAGTTTTGAATTTGACAAAAATGTAGATATTGCGACAAACATTGGTAAATTGCGTAATCTAGCAGTTAGATTAAAGGGACTTGACAATGAAATAAATGATAACATCATGCTTATGTCCAAAATTTTATCAATTTTACCGGAAGAATTTAGATATTTTACTTCAGCATGGGAATCAACTGTAAAAGAAGATCGTACATTAGAAAATCTAATATCAAGATTACTAGCTGAAGAATCAAGAAGAAATGTACGTGAATCACAAGAAACAGCTTTTAAAACGGCAGAGAGAAAATGCTTCAAATGTGGTAATTTTGGACATACAGCAAAAATATGTAAAAAAGGTAAGAAATGTTATATATGCAATAAAGAAGGCCATTACGCATCTACATGTACAAAGAAGAGTAAAGAAAATAAAGAAAAATATCCCACATGTTCGATTTGTAAGAAAAATAATCATCAAGAAAAAGATTGTTTTTTCAGACAAAAGGATGTGAAGAAATCAGATAAATTTTTAGAAAAACGTGATGCTGGAGTGTCTTTCTTGACTAGAACATCAGAGAAATCAAGTTTTTCCAGCTGGATAATGGATTCTGGATCAACTTCACACATGTCAAGAAGTATGGAAGGAATGAAGATTATGGAGAAGATTGAATCTAATGTGGGACTTGCAAAATCAAATGAATCAATGAAAGCAAAGGCAACAAGAAGTATAAAATTTGAACAATGCAAATTAAATAAAGTATTATATATTCCAGATTTGACTACTAATCTACTTTCTGTAAATGCCATAACTAACAATGGAGGAACAGTTACATTTACAAATAAACAGGTATATGTAAAACAAAATGATATACTTGTATTAAA